GTGTGAGTTATTTTCTTTCCACTTCTGAATGTCTTGGGTTGGTCCAGTTCTTCTCTGTTAAAGCAGAGAACGTTCACCTTGCCATTGGAAAGCAAGGACAGAGGCCACCCAATTTGTGACGTTTGTCGTACCAAAGAAGTTGCAGAGGTTTTGGGGGAACGGGGGAATTCCTTGCTAGGTTAGGTCTTATCCCCCTAAGCCAGGGGTCTCAAACACAATTTACCTGGGGGCCTCTGGAGGCAGAGGCTGGGTGAGGCTGGGCCGCACATAGAAGTGTTTAGCCAGCTAGCGACGCATGGAGAACGCACTAATATTATACTTTCATATCACAGTGGGGGCCACAGGATATTGTCCTGCGGGCCGCAATTGGCCCACGGGCCGCGAGTGAGACTTCTGCCCTAAGCCATCCCTGAACGAGAGATTTGGGCTGCAAAACTGGACCTTCCATGCTGTTTCCACTGAACTCAGAAGGATGTCTTTTGAAAAAGCTATTTGTCCAGAATGACACAGGGCAGTGGTGGCTAACCTTTTTGGGTTCCTTGTGCGCACACTGGCACGCTCGTGTGCCAGCACCCAGAAGGCACTGCGCACACTCCATGTCCCCTACGTATGTGCGCAATCTCCACCCACCCACCCACGCCACCCCCGTACCTGCACTGTACCTCACAGCTGATTTTCGGCCTCCCAGAGGCTTAAGGAGGCTTCTGCAGGCTTTGCAGGCCGAAAACTAGCCCCGTTTCGTCACTTCCGCTATTTCGGAAAATACCAGAAGTGATGAAACAGGGCTAGTTTTCGGCCTGCAGAAGCCTTCCTCAAGCCTTTGGGAGGCCGAAAAAGGCCTCAAACTGGCAGGAAATCAGCTGTGAGGCATATGCATGCACAGTGAGGTAAGTTTGCCTACAGCTCGCTTTCCGGCACAAATGGCTCTGCGTGCCACCTGTGGCATGTGTGCCATAGGTTCGCCATCATGGACATAGGGTCTCTTTCTTGAGTAAGGGGGTTGGACTAGATAATCTCCAAGATCCTTTCAAACCCTATTGTTCTATGTTCTAAAAAGGCCCATTTTGGCTCTTCTGGTTCAGTGCCTCAAGGTGGACAAGTTTTGAACGAAGCCCCTTTAAGGTGTTTTCTGCAGTAGATCTTTGACTATTAAAAATGCCACTTGTTTTCCATCAGGGGTACCACACCGAGGATACCACTGGTGTTTTCCTCATGTTTTGGACTACAGCTCCCATAATGCTCAAGAAATAATGAATAGTGCCCAAGAGAAGGACTATCAAAGCCCTAAGACTTAGCTAAAACACAGAGAGGACACCGGGTAAACTTCCCTGCAGCTAAAGCAGGGAAAGAAACTGGAACCCCTTCCTGGGATCTGTGTTAGTGGTGGTATGCTACCGGTTTGGACTGGTTTGGCCGAACCGGTAGTAAAAAAAAAAAAAGCCTTCCACGATCAGCCGAGAGGAGAAAGAAGAGAAAAACGCAGGATCGGCCCTCCAACCCACCTCTGCACTTTTCTCTTCTCTTCTCTCCTCCCAGCTGATTGGCCCTGCAGGCCTCACCTGATGTGGGGAAAGCTGCGTGGACGTTAGGTACGCATGCACGATCATCAAACTGGTAGTGGAAGAGACAGGATCCCACTGCTGATCTGTGTCTTTTAGTTATGGATCTGATTGTTTACATAACACAATGTTTCTCCATCTTGGCCACTTTAAGATGTGTAGGCCTGAGCAATTCTGGGGGGGTGAAGTCCACACACATCTTACAGTGGCCAAGATCAAGAAACATTGATTTAACCCTGACTTGCTTCCCAATAGATACTTATCTTCCCAACAAGCTTCGGCTACAGGACATAAGCCCCCCTCCCCTTTTGAATCAGTACACTGGCAATTTGTGTAAGATGTAGCGTGCACATTCACAAAATGGCTGCTGCGAGAGACTTGCCCCTTCACAATATGCCTGCCGTGCTAAGCCTGGACTCTTGCAAGACACCCAGAGTCATTTCTGCAAATAAATGGGATGTTACAGGGAGATACTAGGTATTGCATGGATTTTATTCAAATAAGCCTAATGTTGTGGTTCACCAGCAGCCTGTGCAGACAGCAGCAGAATTGGACAGTGGGGAAGAAAGGGGACGAGTCTGGGAGTCTGGGGAGGACTTGGACTTGGACGAGGGTCCTGCATCCGATACAGAGATGGGGCCAGGACCATCTGGGTGTTATATGCTGACTCCAGAGCCCCAAGATTCTGGCAGAGCGAGGCTGAGGAACAAGCGGAGGGTGTTCCCAGTGTGCGTGTGCGCAGAGCTGCCAGAAAGCAAGAACAGTTAAGACAAAAGGGGCAACTCGGGAGTAAGGCTCGGAGGTGATTGGCCCTCCCATAAGGTATAAAGGAAGTGCAAAGGTAGGAAAACCTGATGGGTTCAGACTCTGAAAGCTCCATGGTGAATTTGTTCTCTGTTTGGTTTTGAAAGACTAAATTGGCAAGTCAGATAAAGGTGCGTTCTTATCAGACGTCTCCCGAAGAACCTTGGCAGACATCCCTGGGACTAATTATAACTAGTTGAGACTCATTCCGGGCTGTGAATGATGATAATTCACAGCCATTGAACTAAAATAAAAGGGTTTTGGATTTTATGTGTGTTTGTTGGTGTCTCAGGAAGCCTTGGTCAGAGAACAACTAGGGTTGAAGTGTCAATGCTTGTCAACTTTAAGATATACAGTTGTCAAAGTCTGAAATGCTCTACCTGATTCAGTTGTTTCAGCTACAAATTTTCACAGTTTCAGTCACAAATTGACTTCCGTGGACCTTACATCATACTTAAGTGGTTAGTAGAGGGGGCGTGCATAAGTCACTAACGTGCCTATTGTCCCTGTCGTTGTGTTTTTATTCTTTTACTCTTGTTCTCGTTTTTGTTTGATAAATTCTAATAAATAAATAAATAAAATCTGTGGACTTCAACTCCCAGAATTCCTCAACCAGACATGCTGGCTGGGGAATTCTGGGAGTTGAAGTCCACAAGTCTTGAAGTTGCCAAGGTTGGATATCCCTGGTTTAGGGGAACAAGTTATGTGCACTAGAATCTGATAGGCACCAAGGGAGTTCTGGATGAGGCAGGTGATGTTTTGCAACAATATTTAGTGCCTGGTAACCATCACATCGCCAATACTGGATCTAAGCCATTTTTTAAAGTAGAGCCTTAAATACCATTGATTTTGGTGGGTCTCCTTTAGTTATGTCTGGAGCCAACTGTCTACCTCTCGATTGCCCAAAATAACTTTATAATCGACAGAAGGTGTCAACATCTAGATTGACTGATTTCAAAAAAAGCTAAGTATATGAGATACGGATTAGACTTAGATGGGAGATCATCAGGGCAATTCAGGGAGGAAAACTAGATGGAGAAGTTGAAAAAGTATACAGTCCTTGCTTAGTGACTGTTTGCAGTTACATTGGTGATGAAAAAGTAACTTCGCAACCAATTCTTACCTTTATGGCTTTCACGGGTCTGTAAAGCAAGGGAAAGCCAAAGGAAGAAACAGCACAGTGGCTGTTTCACTTAGTGAATGCTTTGCTTAATAACCGAGTTGCCAGTCACCATTATGGTCACTAAACAAAGACTAGCTGTAATGGAAGAAAAGAAAGAAAGAAAGAAAGAAAGAAAGAAAGAAAGAAAGAAAGAAAGAAGAAAGAAAGAAAGAAAGAAAGAAAGAAAGAAAGAAAGAAAGAAAG